CCTCGCTCATCCAGTGAGCGGGAACCGGTCTGTATATGGGATCCGAACCCTCGGGCGGGAGCGCCGCCGCGCTTCCCAAGCGGCGCACTATCCAGTGCGCCACCGGGCCGGCCCAAGCATGTTTAATTTCTAAGGAAGTATTTGGAGATTTTCCTGCTATCTTTCAGTTACTGATTTCTGGCCTGAGAAACATGGGTAAAGAACATACTTTATATGATTTCAATTTTTTGTTTTTTGCTTTTTTAATTTGTTAAGATTTGTCTTATGGCTGAGAGTATTATCTGTCTTGATGAGTATCTCATTTGAAAAGAACGTGTATTCTGTTGTTTGGGGTGGAGTGTCCTATGAATGTCAATAAGATCCATGTGGTTGATCGTATTGTTCAATTCTTCCCTATCCTTGCTCATTTTCCGTTTATTCTTTCTGTTGATTACTGAGAGAGGAATGTTGAAGTCTGCAGCTATATAAATTTGTCTATTACTCCTTTTAATTCCATCTGTTTTTGCTTAATGTATTTCAAAGTTTTGTGAATGGTTCCTATACCTTCAGGGTTATTATGTTGTTTTGGTGAATTGGCTCTTTTACTATTATGTAATGTCTCTTTTCATCACTGGCAATTTTCTTGGCTCTGAAATGTACTTTGTGTAATATAAAAATAGCTACTGCAGCTTTCTTTTGATTACTGTTTGCGTGATTTTTTTTTTCATCGTTTTACTTCTGACCTACCTATCATATGTGAAGTGAGTTTCTTGTAAACAGCATATATTTGAGGCATGTTGTTTTACCCATTCTGACAGCCTATGTCTTTTAATTTGTGTGTTTAGAACATTTAGATTTAATGTAATTATTGATATGTTTGGATTTAGGCCTACCATTTTAAATTTGTTTTCCAATTGTTCCCTTTATTTTGTGTTCCCCTTTTCCTCTTTCCTGCCCTCTGTTGGCTTATTTTAATAGCTTTTAGTGTGCTATTATTATTCACCATGTTGTTTGATTATGTTTCTTGTTTGGTGTTTTCTGAGTGGCTGCTCTAGGAGTTTTAAACATTCACACTTTTCACAGCCTACCTAGAATCAGTATTTTGTCACTTTGGGATGAATGGAGGGTCCTTACTCCCGTACAGATTCCTCTGCTTTCCTTTTTTATGTCGTGCTTGTCTAATTTCTTACATCTAAATACATTGAAGATACTATCAGGCAGTATTAGAATTTTTGCTTTCAACTGTCAACATGTTTTAAAGGACTAAAGAGGAAAAGAATAGTTTATTATTATACTCACCATTTATCCTTAATTTCCTTTTTTTTTCTGACTTGTAAAGGGATCGCAACCCCCAGCAAGGTGTTGTCTGCACCATGCTCAGCCAGTGAGCACACCAGCCATCCCTATATAAGATCCGAACCCGTGGCCTTGGTGCTACCAGCACCGCACTCTCCTGAGTGAGCCACGGTATCCTTAATTTCTGATATTCTCAGTTTCCTCTGGTATCATTTCTGTCTGAAGATCTTTTACCATTTTGTAGAACAGGTCTGCTAGCAATGAGTTACCTTTTTTTTTGTTTCATGTGACCTTGAAATTCACCTTCATTCTTATCAGATATTTTCTCTGGACATAGAATCTGAGTTGCAGTTTTTTCCTTTCAGCACTTTTAAAATGTTACTCCACTTGCTTCTGCTCATGTTTTCTGATGAGAGATCCAGTTATTTGAACCATCCTTTTGCTATATATAATGTATTATTTTTCGCTGGTTGCTATCAAGATTTTTTCTTTTAGTATTTAGCTATTTAATTGTGTGTCTGGGCTTAAATTTCTTTGAGGTTATTCTGTTTCAGGTTTGCTGAGCTTCTTAAATCTGTAGATTTATGCCTTTTGCCATATTTGGGAAATTTTCAGCCATTATTTCTTCAAATTTTTTTTCTGTATTGCATGTTTCCCTCTCCTTCTAGGAATTTAGTTACATCATTTTAGGTCTTTTAGTATTGTCCCAGAGATTCATTAGTCTCTATTTTTCTCAATCTCTTTGTTTTGTTATTCAGGTTGCATAATTTCTACTGATCTATCTTCAAGTTCACTGACTCTTCCTCTGTTCTGTCCTTTCTGTTATAGAGACCTTTCAGTGAATTTTTCTATTTGTTATTTTATCTTTCAGTTTTAGAATTTCCATTTTCTAACAATGTGATAACTCAGTAGATTGCTGTGTGTTCACCTTCTTTTTAGGTTGTGGGCCCACCTGGTACAGGAAAAACAGATGTGGCAGTCCAAATCATATCCAACATCTATCACAATTTCCCAGAGCAGAGGACTCTAATTGTTACTCATTCCAATCAGGTAAATTACTTTGTGTAGATGTGTGCATGCATGTTGGGGGTGGGGCTAAGCAAGGAGCAGGGGATGCATGAAAACAAAATGTAGACAATTTCTGCTTGTTTGAAAACCTGATCATAGGTGTCACAGAATACTAGGAAAAGCTGATGAGTATAGTATTTGCTATTAAGTTATTCTTGGATTATCACTGCTCATGACTAGACTACTTTGAGCGATAAATAAAAACAATCTCTAATTTCTACTAGAAGGAGTGAAAATGTGGAAAAGTTAAGAATATTTGTATATGTGGTCAGATATTTAGATTAAATTAAATTGCCTTTTTTTTCTTCTTCCATACTAAGCTAGAGCTTTTACTTTAAGATTGAAAGCCTTAATTAACCCTTACTAGTAGCATTTTTCTTCATTTACTAGAATGAATATTCCTAAAAGACTAAGGTCTAAAGTATATTAATACTGGGTTGAATTTAAAATCCTTGTGATATGTACATGTGAATATATATTACATGGGAGTATGATGTGTGCTGTGTTAGTTGTTCTGAAGCTGTCAGAAGTGAGGGAAAAAAAAAGTAATAATTATTAGCTCTGGTGTAAAATATGACAGGTAGCTCTCAGAATATCCTGAAACACATTATGAAACTTGCATGGTAGTCTAAACCTCTGAAATTATTTTCTCAGAGTATATATATATTAACAATGGTGACATTAGTTGACCAGTCTAGAAGAGACTTTACAAAGGAGCACTGGGGTTTTGGAGTGCTAAATGTCAGTTATTCTCTTGTTAATCAACTTTTTTTTTTTTTTTTTAAGCAGCTGGGCTGGTACAGAGATTGAACCCTGGCCCTTAGTGTTATCATCACCATGCTCACTGGCCAGCCCTTATTCATCAGCTTTAAATCTACAAGCTTTTTAAAGTAATGCTATCTAGTTCATTCATCTGTCATGTTTTTATAATACTTTTGAAGTTTGTAACTAATGGTGGCCTGTTGTACAATATACTGAATTTGGGCAGGGGAGTTGACTTGGAATGGTGGTTGATTTAGACATTGTCTCGATAAAGGAAACAAACAAACAAAAATACTGTGTTAAAACAACATGTGAAATATTCTTTGTTCATTCTAAGAATTTACAAGTAGATACAGTTTTTTCTTCTGTTTAATAAAATTTAGTTATAATAATTATAACTATTTGTAAATTCTTAGAATGAACAAAGAATACTTCACATGTTGTTTTAACATAGGATATTTTACTAAGTTTTCTCATACCTTGATACAACTTTCTACAGTATTCTGTACTTGTGATACTTATGATTGATATAACACAATCATAGAGAAGGTTATTTTGCAGAAATAGCCAAATAATTCATTGCAAGCTAAAGGGCCTTTCTTGGTCCTTTGAAATTTAAATCATCCTCCTTGATGTCCATCAAGTGTTGATTTTTTTTTCCCTTCAATTGTTAATTGTTTTGTTTGCTAGCTCTTCATTTGCATATGTAATTCAAGCAGTTATCCAGCATCACTCTAATTCACAATGAAATCTTGTAGTTTTTTCTGAGATTGTGATGTGTGGGTGTTTTTTGCTCTGCAAATCTATGTTTTCTGAGTTTGGATAGTGAGTAATGCAATGTAGTCTGATCTGTTGAGCCCTGAATTTTGGATGATGAGTATTGAGAATTTGGATAGTGGGAGATTTTTCTGAAAATTCACATTAAATCTCTTCAGTTTCTGAGCTCTAATTGATAGAATTTTGATGATAAAAGATATCTGTATTTACGTTATACAGCCTGGATGTTTATGAGACTGGATGTTGACTTGATGGGCAGGGTTGAACTAGTGATAAATAAGGAGAGATTTCTTGAATGGGGGCTAATTTTTAAATGAGGTCTTTTTTACTCTATCTTTCCATACTTTGAAATTTTTGCTTTTCTGCAAGACCTTGGAACTGCACGGGTTCAGGTAATGAATACTAGAATTTGAGGAACCCTAAATAGGAATATTTCATAGGTGGAAAGGAGTGACTTCTAAATGGCTTTCATCAGAATAGTTGGCAATAAAGGTGTTCTGCTCATTGCATAGAGTATGTTAGACTTTCAGCCTAAGATTTGAATGATCACTTTACCTTTCTACTCTTTGGTTCTCTTAATGTATTCTACCTATACACTCACTGCCTTTTTACTGTTTTTCTCCAACTGCAAAATTTTTTCAGTTCTCTTCAACCCGTAGAAATGCCGTTTAATAAAATGAAACTCAGTGTGGATGTTTTTTAGGATTGTTATGATTTAGCACAAATAGCACCTGAGCTAGCCTTTCTCTTTTTATAAATTAGAACCAGAGTAGTTCTAATGGTAGGTAGTTTTTATGGTTTCCAGTTACTTATTTGGCCAAGTATACGTAGATGGCAAGATTAGAAATCAATAAATATACTATTTTGTTTAAATTATAAATGGCCTAATATAAGACTTATTTCCTTATGTTTCCAATTTGAATTCTTATCTAATTGTGCAATGCTTATTCTGTCCTATCCTTCTAAATATTAGCTTTTGTTATTTTTAACGGTGCCTGCTGATTCATAGAAACTCATCATCACCCTTTTTGTTTTATTCTCTAGGCACTGAACCAGTTGTTTGAGAAAATTATGGCATTAGACATTGACGAGCGCCACCTACTGCGTCTTGGTCATGGAGAAGAAGAGCTGGAGACAGAGAAAGATTTCAGCAGGTGAGCAAGTGGAGGTGAATTTCGAGACAGTTTACAAAAGAGTTTTTAACTTTCTCTTTTTCTTAATTAAAGAAACACCAGGTGAAGAGAGCAATGACTGATCAAACTTAATCCTGAAATTTCTAGTGTAACCTGTTTAGACTATCTGTTGACCTGATAGTCTGGTCATGATCTCCCTCAGCTCCAATTCGGTCTGTTAATGCCATTTTTCATCAAGTATACAATTATTTCAATGAAGAGAATTATTTTGTTCATCTTTTTAAAATTGCAGATTGCTGTTTGCTTTCTATTTATTGAAGTAATTTGTAATGTTGGCAATTCAAAACTGCAAATTTAGGTGACTCCTTTCTCACACTTCATCCAGACATTTAATTTGCATATATTTTAGGTACCACTTAAGAGGTTGATTTATTTAGTGAAATGTAAATTAATGATTAATGATTGCGGTTGTAAGTATAATTAGATCCAGTTTAGCTAAGCTTTATGTTTAATATTACATATTGTAAATTGACTAAAATTTTACAAATCAAATTTCTTCTGCTGTTAGTATTTAATTTTTTTCCTACGGAATTGCTTTATAATAACTCATTTAATTTATATTTAAGTCCATTTTTAAAGCAATTTCAGACAATAAGCATAATCAATAGCTGAACATATTTAACACAGCCTTTGGCTATTGAACGTGATCTTTGGCTAAATTGATCATAGACAGTAAAAGAGTGTTAAATTATTATGTCGCATCTATTTTGAGTTCTTGAATTACAGAGCTCACCAAACATTTAGCTTCTAAGAAATCAATATGTCACAGAGGGCAAAGAACAACATGCCATAAATTATTTGGGGCTATAGATCCTCAGCTTTGGATCATCTGGTGATACTTCTCTGAATTTTTTCCCTAGGTATTTCCTCATGTTAAAGCTAACTTGCAAAAGTGGACTAGACTCTAAAATTTAATGCTGTAATTCAGATTTCAGTGAACAAAAGGTGCTGATATTGAATGCTTAATACTGTAATTATGATTATATTGCAGTAGAATTTATACTTTTTAAAGAACATTATAATAAAACAGAAATAGAATTTTTAAAATGATTTTCAGTTCCACCAAATTTCTGGGGGAAAAAATTAATTTTTTCCCTTTGGTACACAAGCTAAGCCCTAGGTCTGATTAGTAAGTACATGCTTGTTCAATTGAGCATATTCTTTATTTTTCTCTCATTATAATTAAAAATAAAAATAGTGATCATTATTTCACAGTAAAAGTAATATCACTTCCCTAAATAAAAAATGTTAAAACCTAGTGAAGTTGTAGAAAGGGAGTGATCATCTATAATTCCACTACGCCAAAATAACTTTTTGTTAGTCTTTTTTCTGTAACCAGGCTATTATTTGTTATTTTGTACGTTGCTTTCTAAAAATAATTAATAGACCTCATTTTTAAAGTATAATAATGTACTAATTAAGCAGATAGTACATAGAAGTTCCATTGTATATCTTTTTAATATTATGTCCCAAGAAGTACACTCTATAAACATTTCTGATTTTTTTTCTCATTACCAAAGTGTTTATTATAGATAAAATTTTAAACTATAGATAAATAAGCAGAAAAAAGTTACCTGCCATAATGTTTATATCCTTCTAAGTTAAAAAATTCTTCAAAACATATACCATATCTTATATTTCTTTTTTACTCTTGTTCATTCCTTGCTGCCTCAAAGGTGAATCTTTGAACTGTGGAACAGCTAGGAACATGACTTCTTCCTTTACTGAACCTTTAAACATGTGAATAGCAGTGATTAAACTATTTTAGTCTTGTTTTAAGCATTAAAGGTTATAGGAGATTGTTTATTATTGTGGAAAGAGGATAGACTTTGGGATCTAATTCTGGTTTCACTACTTTCTTTCCTAACTGCATGTCTTTGGGCAAGGTGAGGTTATAGGAGATTGTTTATTATTGTGGAAAGAGGATACACTTTGGGATCTAATTCTGGTTTCACTACTTTCTTTCCTAACTGCATGTCTTTGGGCAAGGTACTCTCCAAACTTCAGTTTTCTTATTCATTCAGTAAAATACTCATAAATATTTATGAACCTGCTAGCTTTGGTGGCCAAGCTATGTGCTGGGATATATAGATGATAGATAATATCAAATACATTTTAAAACTACTTTTCGGCCGGCCCGGTTGTGCACTGCTACAGTGCGCCGCTTGGGAGCACGGTGGCGCTCCCGCCGAGGATTCGGATCCCACATACAGACCGGTTCCTGCTCACTGGCTGAGCGAGGTTCGGGCGCGACACCGCAGGTTGCGATCCCGTTGCTGGTCCCGGTCCGGTACGGGCGCGACACTGAGGGTTGCGATCCGTTGCCAGACATGAAAAAAGACAAAAAGGAAACAAACAAACAAACAAAAACTACTTTTCAATGTCTTTAGAACTGATCTACTTTTATGATAGTGTAAACCAGTGGTACTCAAACTATGTGTTTTTGGTCTGTGATGAGATGAGCTAGCACCAGAATGCACTGTACTGCTTTCTTATTATGGGGGGGGGGGGGAAACGTTGCTTGATGACTCAGTCAGCAAAAGGCCAATGTTGATACTTTAAAAAGATTTTTCTTTCTTGCTATCGACAGAATTTCCAGTCTCTCTCTTTTTTTTTACTGTAGAAATATAATTAAATATTCTAGCTACCCAGTGGTACAAAAGTACAGTTCTGTAACTTTTATTATGTTCTTTAATCAACTAATAAAGAAAATCATATTCTTCTTTCAAATTTCAAAATTTAAATTATGTCTTAGAACTAATTGAAGAGTAGGAGTTTAAGTTAAAATTTTTATTGCTTCAGTTTAAAGGTGTGCTTTTGCTTTTGTTAGGGTTAATTTTGGGGATATGTAAACCAATGAGAAAAAGAATGTCAGATAAAGTGAATAAAAATAAATTTTAATAGTCTGTTGGATTACTAATAATTTTAAATAGATTAAGACATAATCAAATAATGAATTTTGTATAACTGTATTTGTTCTCTTTGTGCTAATGCTATGCATGTATCTTAGATATAAATTATGTTGACATCTATGTTTTTAAATGTATGTGAAAGAATGTGCTTATGCTGACTAAGTGGATACACAAACCAGTTGAGTCCATTGAAAATGAGCAGATTTCATGGTTTCTTGTAAAGCTGAGAAGACATGCATCATTTCACAAAGTAGACTGCATTAGTATTCTACAAAGTTTACAACTTTGAATAATGGAGTAAAAATCATGTTTAAATGCTTATTTGACTCAAAAAATCACTTGGCTGTCACTGAAAACTACTTTTAAAAGTAGGAGAAATAATCTATAAATTCTGGAAGCTTATGTAATAAATTTGGGATAAATGAACTTGATGCTTTATAGTGTGGAGCAACAATTTTCTGCATACAGGGATCTCACTGGGAAAGTTTTATCACAAAGTCAGATTCCTGAGCCCTGTCCCTAGAGACTCTCATTCAGTAGGGGTAGAGGTGAGGGTGGGATCTATATTTTTATTTAGCTCCTCGGATATTCTGCCTAAGGACTATACTTTGAGAAACACTAAGATTATAACAGAAAAAGGCCTGGGAGAATTATCAAAATTGAGGTGCTCAGTAGGAACTGGCTGGTAGAGACATAGCTGATATTATATAAGGATGTAATTGAACTATATTACAAAAGTTATAAGGTGAGCTTTCAAATATACACTCAGCTTAACCTGAAGTTCTTTATAAATGTTCTACAGAGATTGGAAAAATTATAAAGGTCTTTGTCCAGAGAGTTTTCTTTTCTCTTCAGCGCATTGGTAATAAACTATTTTGTGTATAAATGGCGAATCTGAAATGTGTAAGTTGGAGTCATGAGATGAACATGAGGTTCTTTCCAGTTTCCACATTTTTTTATTACAGTCTTTTTTCTCCAGTCGTATAGTTACTTTTATAAAAGAACAATCTATCAGTGACTTGGATGATGAATGGTTCTGTTGGATCAAAGTTTGCATTTCTTTTCCTTTTCCTTTACCTAGTAGATCTTACTTTTAGTAGATTTATTTTATCATTTAAAACATAATAATTTGTTGGCAAAATTAACCTCAAGTCCTTTTTTCCTACAGGTAATGTCTCGTTGGGAAGAGTATATCAGCAAAGTGAAAAATAAAGGCAGTACCTTGCCGGATGTTACAGAAGTCTCAACTTTCTTCCCTTTCCATGAATACTTTGCAAATGCCCCTCAACCCATTTTTAAAGGCAGATCTTATGAAGGAGACATGGAAATTGCCGAAGGATGTTTTAGGCATATTAAGAAAATCTTTACTCAACTCGAGGTAAGGATTCTCAAGTGTTTTGAACTTTCCTTTAGAGATTTTTAATTTAGCTTAGTTTGTTTTTTTTATTTGAAACATAATTGATTATACATATTTGTGGGCTACAGAGTTAAATATCAATACCTGTGTACAATCTGTGATGATCAAGTCATGATAATTAGAATATTCATCATTACAAAACATAATCATTCTTTGTGTCCATTAACCCAATTTCTCCCTAACTACCCTGTCCCTCTCCCTTTCTCACCTTTAGAAATCACAGTTCTGAAATCTTCTGAAATTCAACTTATTATTGTGATCTTTCTCTCTTTCTTTATGCTTCATTCATTTATTTGTTTTTTAGCTCCCACTTATGAGTGAGAACATGCAATATTTCTCTTTCTGTGCCTGGCTTATTTCACTTGACATAATTTTCTCCAAGCTCATCCATGCTGCTGCGAATGGCAGAATTTCGTTCTTTTTTATTCCATTGTGTATATCTACCACATTTTCCTTATCCAGTCATCCATCAGTGGACATTTAAGTTGATTCCATGCCTTGGCTAGACACCAAGAACATACATTGGAGAAAGGACAGCCTCTTCAATAAATGGTGCTGGGAGAGCTGAATATCCATATGTAGAAGAATAAAAATAGACCTGAACCTCTCGCCATGTACCAAAATCAACTCAAAATGGATTAAATACTTAAATATAAGACCTGAAACTATAAAACCATAGACAAAAACAGGTGAAATACCTGAGGATATAGGACTGGATAAAGACTTTATAAGACCTCAAAGGCACAGACAACAAAAGCAAAAATAAACAAATGGGATTATATCAAACTAAAAAGCTGCACAGCAAAGAAAACAATCAGCAGTGAAAAAACAACCTACAGAATGGGAGAAAATATTTGCAAACTATACATTCAACAAGGGATTAATATCCAAAATATAAAAGGAATTTAAACAACTTAGCAGTAAAACAAAACAAATAATCCAATTAAAAAATCAGCAAGGAGCTAAATAGACATTTCTCAAAAGAAGACATATGGATGGCCAAAATGTACATGAAAAAATGCTCAACATCACTAATCATCAGGGAAAAGCAAATCAAAACCACATTGAGATAACATCTCACTGTAGTCAGACTGGCTGTTTTTAGAGAATAACAAATACTGACAAGGATGCGGAAAAAGGGGAGCCCTTATACACTGTTGGGATTGTAAATTAGTACAGCCATTATGGAAAACAGTATGGAGGTTTCTCAAACAACTACAGATAGAACTGTCATATGATCCAGCAATCCCACTACTGGGTATATACCCAAAGGAATAGAAATCATCCTATCGAAGGGATACCTGTACTCCCATGTTTGTCACAGCTCTATTTACAATAGTTTTTTTTTTTTTTTCAAGTGAAGTAAATGTGGAATATTCTAATCTTACAAATCAGATTGTTACTTTTAAATAAGATTTTTGAAAACACTTATAGTTTTAGTTTAGGAAATAAAGTTAAGAATGAATTGGATTCCTGTTATTCTGGCTTTTCCAGTGTGAAGGTCTTAGCATTTTAAAAAGGAATGCTTCCACCGGGAAACTCAGCAACAGGTCTTTGAATTGGAATTTGAGACTGCCACATGGCCATTCATGCTTCTTGATCAGTAGGCAAGAAGTGAGGTTGCCATGTTGATGATTGATCCTGATTATTAAAGTGAAATAAGAGTCATAACTACATAAAGGGGACACAGAAGAGTATGTCTGGAATCCAGGGGCCTCCTAGGATGTCTCCTAGTTTTTGAACGTCCCATAGCAAACATCAGTGGAAAACTACAGTAGTCTTGTAAAGGAATTACATTCAGGCTCAGATTCCTCAGTAAGGAGGTTTAGGATTATTCCAGGTAGAAAGGGCAGGGACTTTGTCTCTTTTGTCTTTGCATCTTTTAGATATGATTACATCTCTACTTCTTATAACAATATCTGATACATAGTATTTTTCAGTAAATATTGATACATAAATAGATAGGTGGATGGATGATAGGTACATAATAATAAATATAAAGCATAAGAATAATAAATAAAATTCTTCAACCTGCAAAACAAAATTATATTATGTTTATGATTATATAAACACAAAGTAAAAAGATAAAAAACATACTCAATTCATAACAGTAGCTGCCTTGGGAAGGGGTAGGGAGAAGGATATACAGGTACCTCATCTGTATCTACAATGTTTTAATTATTTAAAAAACAAAACAAAAATATTAAAAAGGTTTGAAGTAAGTATGGATAATGTTCAGATGTGATAAAACTTGATATTGGGTACTCTGCTTTGGCCAATTTGCCCCTCCCATCCATCTCTTATTGATCCCCTATTCTGCTCTGTGGAGGATCCTCTGCCATGGTTGAAGTTTGGGCTGATCCTTGCAGGTTTAATTTCCCAGTCTCCTATGTCAGCTGACTTCTGGCTGAGTTTAGCCAATGAGAGATGTGGAAGGAGTTGAAGAAAGAGAGAAGTCAGGGTATTTCTCTACCAGTTCCTCTTCGGCCTTGGGTTTCATCTCTTCTGTGACTCCAGTTTCTGCTGTACTGGTTCATTGTGGTTCCAGTTGGTTTTGTGACCCTGGGCTTTGATAACACCACTTCCTCCCTTCGTCCTTCCTAGCCTAGGAGTGGTAGTGACTTCCTGCTATTGCTAATCTCCAGGATACTTTACCATTCCATGATTGGCTTTTTAGCTCCTCTATCACCTGTGTAACTAGTTCCTTGCTTAAAGTTCCTTTGATATGAATTCTTAAAATAGTTTCTGTTTTCCTAGAGGGACCTTGAATAATATAGGTACTATGGTAATTGATATTTTATTCAGTATTCTTGTTTATATTGTAAACAATATTGTTTGAACTCAATCTAATTAAATATGAATAGAATTATGATTCAATAGGCTTATTTATAGGTATATTTATATAAATTTCTCAGGAATTAAGTCTGATTGACTGGATTGTATGATTGTGTGCATAACGTGTGTTTTTTTTCCTAAAATAGTCTTTCACTACTCCCTACTCCCATAGGAATTCAGAGCGTCTGAGCTGCTTCGAAGTGGACTGGACAGATCTAAATACCTTCTGGTGAAAGAAGCCAAAATTATTGCTATGACCTGTACTCATGCTGCCTTAAAACGTCATGACTTGGTCAAGTTAGGTTTCAAGGTAAAGACTTTTATTTTAGTTTCTTAATTAATTCATCATCTATTCAGCTGGGGTTTTTTTGTTTTTTTTTTTTTTTTCCTTTTTTTTTTATTTACCCGGCCCTTTTTT